AGGAAGAGAACTCACAGGAATTAATGCTGCTTCAGACAGCATTAATTCCAGGTGAACTATCCATATGAATATTTCCATGGTAAACAAGGGAGAATACAAGAGAGAAAATGGTCTAACTCCAAACCTTCCTGCACCTGGCTCCACCCCAAAAATTCCAATAAGCCTGGCCACTCCAAAGCAGCGGCAGGGAAATTCTAAGAGTTCCCAAATGTGTGAAGGTGGCACTCTCTCCCGTCTCTACTCCCACCATGCAGCATGATCTTTCAGTTTTTCACCTCCTCTCCTCAGAGTGGAGGGACCTGGACTATTACCACACAAATAAGGGTTATTTTAATTAGATTTTCAGAGAGAGTATGAGTTGGACTAATAACCCATTTTACAGATGTTTAGAAGAGAGGCAAGATGGATGAGGTAATATCTTTTATTGGACCAAATACTGTTGTTGGAAGGGGCAAGTTTGAGCTTCACAAAGCTCTTCTTCAGGTCTAGGAAAGGTAACCTGAGTGTTTGAGCTAAACAGAAGTTAGGACACTCATACTAGTTAAGATACTCATTTGTAGCTCCAATTATAAGTGAAAGTTCTATCAAGCTTTCGTATTGTTATTTATGTTACAACAATCCCTGGAAGCCCCATTGTATACCCACATAGTAAAAGACAACCCATGCTGCAGAACGGATTCAAACAGAAAAGACAAAGAATGGAAAAAAGGATTATCATCCCCATTTTACAGATGGGGAACTGAGGCCAGAAAGAGAAAGTGACTGATCTAAGCACACACTGCGTCTGTGGCTGAGCCAGGAACTGAACTCCCATCTCCAGAGTTCCAGTCATTGCTATGGAGGCCAACCTTCTGCAACACCAGGTAAAGGCTAATCAACAGTCTGGAATAGGCTAGTTCATGACTCAGCAGTTAACAATACTGGTGAATTAATATTGTTGTTTTGTAGAGATGAACAACTGTTGTGGTATTTAAAATACAGCAGGATCCCGAGACATATGACAAAGCAGAGAATATAGAAAAGACAGACAGGATGGAACAAAGCCAATCAGTGTTCTGCAGTGCTATAGGATAAAAGCATGGGAGCCTAATATGCAATCCCAACTCTGTGCTTCAAAAGGTGACAATATTGCCACGTTCCTGCCAATGTGCCCCAGGGAAACTCTTTCCCATCCACAAATTTGGAGATCAGTTTATTCCTAGATTCCAAAGCCAAAAGGGACCATTGTGATCACCCAGTCTGACTTCTTGTATAACACAGACCATAGAACTTCCCCAAAATAATTCCTAGAGCATGTCTTTTACATAAACATCCAATTTTGATTTAAAAAGTGTCAGTGGTGGAGAATCCATCACTGGTTAGCCATGAGGACTCTTGACCACTTGCACAGGATTCATCTCCTAACCCCACTCACACCTCAATCCACTGTTGGAAGTTATTCATTTATTCTCCTCTTCTGCTAAAGGGATTCTGAAAGTCGCAAGATGTGAGGCATTTGCTCATATGTGGTAGGAAGGAAGTTCTCGGAAGTTTGGCTCTGTTTCATTAGGAGGAATCTGGAACCTAACGTGTGTGTGTGTGTGTGTGTGTGTGTGTGTGTGTACGCGTGTACGCACGCGCACACACACACACACAC